GCGGGCTGCGGTGCCGGGCGGCCGCTGTCCACCTCGCGCCATTGTCCCTGCTCCGGCCGTCCCCGCCTCCAGCCCGGGCTCGGCGGCCGCACGTGGTTTTATTTATATGGTTTCTGGGTGCAGCTTCGCCGCGCGGGGCGCCCCGGCCCCCTGTGGCTGCCTCAGCGCAGGGGTCCCACGTTTTAGGGCGGCGAGGGAATGGGTGGACTCAGCGCCCAGGTCAGCACCCCGAGCGCCCCTAGACTCCCGGATCTGGGTCGAGCGAGGAGGAGTTGGAGGGGTGGAATTGGAGAGCAAGAGGGTTGGAAGTTCCCGGGGGGCCCGATGCATGGCTTCTGAAGCGAGGGAGAAACGTAACCAAAGCTGGGAGGGAAGGTGTCTAAATAGGACTCATACCCGGCAGCCAGGTATTTTGGGGCAGGGCCTGAGGTGTTGCTCTGAAGGTTGCTCCAAGCTCTAGGTTAGCCTTGGGCAAACTTGGATGAACTAATTTTTCTCTTTTGCGTCCCTGTTGGTTTCCTCAAAGGGATGAAAGTGTGAAGTGGGGGGAGGAGGGGAGGGAGGAGAGGTGTTTAGGAGAAAGGGTTATTTTATTGATTTACAGGTTACAAACGCCGGGCTTTCCTTTTCTGGAGGAGTTAGTTTTCTGGTAGCCTGAGAAAAGGATCAAAGTCAGATGTGGCTCGGGAACACAATGGGCGCCTTCCGGAGTGGTCCGCAGCGCGGGGCTGTTAGGGCCGCCCGCATCGCCCAGGGCAGACGTCAGGGAAGGAGGCCTGCGCGTGGGACCCTGACTGCCGTGCGCGGTTTCCGAGGACCTGCGAGGATGAGAAACAGCTCAGTTCCAGGGATTCGCAGTTACAGATTGAAAACCGTCACGAGGAAGATGAAACCTTCCCCCCAACCGCTGAGTCTCACTCGGCCCCAATCAGTATGCACATCTTTAGCCGGTCTCTGCGCTAAATGCAAGCGGTGACAGGGTATTCGTTGGTCGTCGGATGCTTTATCCTGGCTGGGGCCCGGGAGGGATGTGTATGCTTAGGATAATAAAGCTTTCCTCTGCTCTGCTGAAAATGTGTATTGGCTGATTAAGCAATTTCCTATCCCTATTAGACAGTAAGGACCAATTAGTTACACATTTTTTCCAACAGTTGGTAGTTCTAAAAAAAATTGAAGTAAAAGTTTCCTAATCCGATCCCCCACCGGGTGCAAGCAGCAAGAGTTACCGACTTTTGAGAGTCTATTGTTTGTCTTTTAAATACCTAGCTTGCTCTGCAGAAATTAAGTAAATGGATTTCTTTCAAGGAGAGGAGTGGGCCCTTGTTGTAAAAGGGCAGATGTAAAAATACAAACTTGTAATTTGTCACAAAAGATAAACGTATTTCCCAAAAGAGTAGGTGCCAGGGGTTCCAAAAATACTTCAAGGGACAAGGAAATAAACTTGCTTGTTCGCAGAGTTGGAGTTTTGCTAATGATTTCTTGTAAAATTAGACTTTTACGACTTACTCTGTTCACGATCTTTTTGACAAGCTTGTAAAAGTAGCAAACAGCTTGTGCTCATGAGTTTTCCTGATGATTTTAGAAGTCTAGCAAGGAACTTGAGAACAGAATCCTTACAAGGAATAGTGTTTTGAACTCTCCAAGCGTTTAGCGTTGATGTTGTAAAAGGTGGTTATTTCTCAGCTTGGTTGAAGAGGTTTGCTGAAACTCAGGTTGGTTTATTAGGAGTTTGCGAAGTAAATTGATGTGGCGTGTTAAACTCTGTCTCCTTATCCACTGAATACTGTTTCACAATTGTGTGTTGTGCTAAGAAATGGCTTTATACTTATAATTCTGGGTATTTCTCTCCTCTTTTTCCCTACAGGAGTCTGGTGCTTTAGCGAATTGTTTTTTATAAACGAACCACAGGATGTAACTGTCACAAGAAAGGACTCAGTCATTTTAGATTGCCATGCTCATGGAGATGTCCCTATTAAGGTCACGTGGTTGAAAAATGGAGCAAAAGTGTCTGAAAATAAACGGATCCAAGTTCTGTCTAATGGCTCCTTATACATCAGTGAGGTGGAAAGCAAACGAGGAGAGCAGTCTGATGAAGGATTTTATCAGTGTCTGGCAATGAACAAATATGGAGCCATTCTTAGTCAGAAAGCTCATCTTACCTTATCAAGTAAGTGCTTAAGTTCTTGATTAATGATATTTTTAATTGCTGCATTTTGATGATTTCTTGATTTATTAAAATAATAACACTAAAAGTCACACATTAAGAATTTTACTGGCAATAATAATTGACGCTAACTAAGGCATGCAGAGAAATTCAAGAGAAGTTTGTATATAGAAATTCAAATGAGTGGTTGAGAACAGAAGTTAAATTAGGTTTAGAACGTCAAGTAAAATAAAACCTCTGGAGTTGGCTTTATGTAAATTTCAAGGGTTTCACACTTTGAGAAGAGTTGGGTATAGAAGTTTGTCTAACACAACAGAAGTTGTTTTTAAATCTCATCTTTTGGAAACCAGTAATTGCATGAAAACACTCACCAGCAGAACTTTCTGCTTTGGAGATGACCCTTGAGTGTTAAATCTGTCTTGTAGTCTAACCTTCCATTTCTCTGACTGCTTTTGGATCACCCATGTTGCTTTTTAATTGTAAGAGAGGGCGTTGGTCAGTAACTCTCAAGCCTTTGAAGTATTTCTTGCCTTTTCCTGCTGGGAGGGAAAGAGATTAAGGCTATTTCCATATTATTCCTAATGGACTTAAACCAGATCTGCTCACTTTTTTCCAGTTGTCATAAAGTTTGCTGTCTTATGATTTCCTTTGTATTAACAGCTCTGTCAGACCAACCATTTGCCCAAGCGACCCGTTGCTTGGTGGGTGATTTGGTAACTAACTGGTGCATGTAACGATGCCCTGAAACAGGTAGAGGACTCTTTCCACTGTGGCTTTCCAACTCTTCACGTGGCGAAACACACAGCGCTCAAGATTGCAATACACAACTTAAATCTTAAAAAAATTAACACAAATACATTGCACCTTAAAAACAATTTTACAGGCATCTTAGCTACATGGGAGCCCTGGTGGTGCAGTGGTTAAGAGCTTGGCTCCTAACAAAAAGGTTGGCGGTTCGAATCCACCAGCCACTCCTTAGAAACCCTATGAGGCAGTTCTGGTCTGTTCTGTAGGGGTGCTGTGAGTTGGAATCAACTCGAGGCAATGAGTTTGTTTGGGTTTCTAGCTACATGGTTTTGTTAATCCACACAAGATAGATTTTGCACTATACCTACATATGGATGATTTGCAAGGCATACAATAGGAAGGGGAAGTTCTTGAGATAAAGGCACAATCTTTAGGAACAATCTTCAGGTTTATACAGCTGATGATTAGGAAACTGTTGGCGGGAGTTTCCTAGATGACTCTTAACTGTTGTAAAACCCCATGGCTATATTTTTACCCACCCTCACATTAGTAATTCATTTCATTTGCACATTAATGATTAATTGTGGAAAATAAAATACAAAGATTTCTTTAAATATTGAAATATATCAGAAAATTAGAGAAGTTTCTAATTCTAGACTTCCCCCGAAAAAGAATAGCATAAACCTAAGAGGATTTCTAATAAACATTTCTTTTTTGCTGTATCCATTGGCTAATTTTATATATATGTATGTGTGTATGTATTTGGTTGAATAATGATTTTTCTGTACAGTACTGTTTTCAGGATAGTGTGTTTTTTATTCTTATGTTCTGTTCAATTAATTTTTGCCTAATGTAACATTGTTGGATAGAGTTGTAATTTTTCCACCTTTTTGGGTTTGTGGACTCTTGTGTTTTCATACCCAGAAACTGTAATTTGTAGACCTTGGGAGGGGAGGGGGAGCGGGAG